AACTTTGAGGAGCCATTTCAAGTGAGTATACATGAGTCAAAGTTGTTACAGAACACACGGTCTGCAACATTGACATGTTTGTAGATTAAGTTGAAAGTGACTTAGATGTAACTAAGAGCCTGTTTGGGTCCAATTTTTTCATCAAAAAAATTGATTTTTTGATCGTTATTTCACTATTCCAGCCGTCAATTTGACTTCTTCTCTCACAGGTGGACCCCACTTTTCTCCTAACGGTCAAAAAATCAATTCTAAAAATCACTCCCAAACAGGTTCTAAAGTTGTTAGGTCAGCTAAACTGCTTGTAGGCCAACAGGACCCGTTTTACACTCCTAGATAAGGCAACTAATAAATACGATCCTGTCCATCATACTGAATATTAAACACGTCCTGTAAAGAATAGTAAGTGGGTCTCATAGTTTAGGCTTCTGTTTGGGCGAAATATTTTGGTTAGACGATCGCTCTATCCTACGTGGTACAACCATCGAATGGAGAGCCATTACCTCAGAACTTGAGGCGAAAAGAGAGAAAAAAATCGAGAAGTTGTCTCACCTCATTGGAGGAGGGTGGACTACCCGACAAAGTGGTGGCTCCCCATTCGACAGTCGCATCACGTAAGACGGTGCAACAGTCCCACCAACGTTTTCCTCTGTTTGGACTCCATTAAAATTAAATTTTGAAACGAAAATATATTTTGAAATCGTGATTTTAAAAATAAGAAATTTTTTTGGCTTACATGTAATTTTATTGAAAAATGTATGATTGAAAATAAGAAAGAAAAATGTATTTTAGCAAAAATGGATCCCAAACCAGGGCTAGGTTTCACACATAGAATAACCATGAAAATCATTGAAACCATGACCTATAGATTCAACTACCTTCCTGCGACAAACAATGTAAGCTTTAAACATGCCAATGATATGGACTCTCCGTGTGAATTGCCTCAATGGATACCTTCAAAATACTTTATGAAGGTATGGGCAAGTGCGATCCAGAAATTATGAGCAACCAAGTAAACATCGATGACAAACAAGAAGGCCCTGATACAAGACCATAATGTCAAATCAGATTTAGGCGTAAGCTATGCTAGTCGACTTCTTGAATCATTTTTCACTAATTTGCTCAGTTCATTGTAGATCTAGAGAAGATGCATAACAACCAGATCCTTGACAACTATAATGAACCGTGTTGGAATTGGTCTAGCATCCTCTCTTTTCACTTGTCTTACTAAAATCTTGTCACTCTTGTCGTCATTAGCTTCTTTAAATCCATGCAAGACATCTCCGTCATACACCGTAGTTTTCTATCGACTACATCATGGATTGTGTTCATTCAGTAATCTCAATAGTTAATTTCATTAGATCCTATTGTTTCAAATGGATAAAACTTTAACAAATAAAAATGGTGCTAGAAAACTACATTTCCGATCAAAGCATTTCAAGAAAAGAGAAAAAAACAGGTATATTCACAAAAGCCATTTATACTAATTCAAAAAGATCCATCAAGGCAAAAAACATCAACTCCTGTTCCAAACATAGAACAGAGGACAAAGTCCGGGGCCACATAGCATCGAAGGCTATCGAGACTCTCTTCTATCATTGACCGAAAGTTGGGATTATGTAAATCAAAATCTGGTGGTTTATATTACCCACAAAGACCATGAGAGACGAAAGTAGAACAGCATAAGGTACAAAAGATCATCCAAGGCTGCTAACAGATACACAAACAGCTCTCAATAAACGGAAGATCAGAGGTTTATACCTATGTGGTGGTTTCATCGATCATGGGCATGGTGCAAAAGGCGATGCAATCGCAGTATCCTATGTAGATATAAACAAGCTGCTCTCAAAATTTTCTTCCCTGCTGTTTGGATAAACAGAGTTTTCAGAAGAATTATTGCTTGCTTTCTCCACCTCTTCATCAATCAAAATAACCTGTGAACGGCAACTCCAACTGCAAAACGCTTTCTCACCTCTGAAGAACATCAACACAACCAAGAACCAGTCAAAATCTTGTAGTGCATTGGTCCATAGTACTGGACATGACAATATTAAAAAAAAAAAAACTAAAATCTTGTTCATAGTACTGTCGAGTCTATCCAGTCCCATCCGCTTACCAAACATGTTGATAATCTAAAGTGTTTTGTACATATGCAGAGGTAAGTACTATTGTTGCGAAACCAAAAAACCAAATAGAAGAAAAGGTTTATTGCTGCGAACCTGTACATGTAAACATCTTCCCCTTCCAATTTCTTCTTGCAAGAGTAACAACATTTCAAGAAATCGCTGGAGGGATAAGAAGAAAAAACGTCAGAGCATTCTGCCACCTGAGGCAATGCAATTTCCTCTACATTTTCCTTGAAAACGTTGGATAATTTGTCATGACATTCTAAAATGCAGTCACCAAAGATATGAGTAACTTTGGGGTTAGGGCCATGTGTTCTCACACAGGTATAATCCTCAGAAAGCTCAACCTCCCTTGCCGGAACAGAACCAATAAAACCAGTTCCACAGCTAATTGATGCCGGAATTGAACTCAGCTTCCATTCAGATGAATCGCCTAACTTTGATTCTGAAAACATGTGGCTTATTGCATTCTTGGAATTCAAGTTACCAGACAACGGTTTGGGCTTACAGTTTCCAAAATTGGTTAAATGCGACCAAGACCTTCCGGAATCTAACGAACAGGAGTGAAGATTTTTCTCAAACTGCTCTGGCTCAAATGTGGCTCCTCCAATTTCGAACAAGACATCAGAATTGTCCTTTATGTGATTGGGTGGTTTTGCCATGTCATTTGGAAAAATGGCAACATTTTTTGGCAATGATCTTGGAACTTCAAGAGAATCGATGCAACCTGGAAAATTTGCTTTTGCGATCCTCATTTTTGGTCCAAAAAGAATATTTTTACTATCAGATGACCGGTTAACCTTCCCTGAGTATTTATTTTCATTGTAAAGAGAATTTATAATACTTAGACCGACTTTGCTACAATCCCAGCTCTTTTGATGCACCTCATTTGATGATATTCGGGGCTTAAGCGGATTGCCCATATTAGAGAAAACCTGATAATCTAATGGGGAAGTAGGGCTTCTCTCTGAATCAGATTCTGAACTCTTAGGATCGAACCCCACAAATACCCCAGGGACGTTAAAATATGGACTATTTTTATGTTTTTGACCAAAAATAACAGAGTGAACTTTCGACTCTGAACTAGCATCAGAAATCAAGTGATCCCTGTGTTGATCTTTGAGGTTCGATCTGATCGTTGGCCTTAACATTATCTCAACACTTCAGACCCTTCAAAATTCACCCAAAGCCTCTAACTGCATCAAAATCAATAAATTCCTTCGAAAATTATTACATTTCTTAACGCAAATAAATTAAAAAAAAAAAAAAAACTATTTCCATACTGAAATAATTTTAATCATGGAATGAAATACAGCAGAATAAAGAAACTATTCACTGGAGACTTTTATCAAGAAATGAATGGTGCAAATAATAGATCTTTTCAAACATCAAAGATAATCGTGCTGTGGGACATAATTTTTGAACAAAAACAAAGAAAAAAAATATATGATTCTTTATTCCAAATGACAAATTAAATTGATTAATAAAATAGAAAATAAAATAATTATACTCAAGAAAAGAAGGAAACAGATCAACATGCAGATAAAACTTACTTTTGATGATAATGGTTTCTTGATCAAAAACCCCTTGATTAACCCGCAAATTACCCAAGAATCAATAACCATATTGATAAAATAAATGCATGAAAAGAAAAGCTAAAAAACATCACACAAACAGAAGAATGAAAGAAATAGAAGAATTTGATAAAAACCTTTGCTCTCTGAAGCCTCAACAAAATCGTACTCAAAATCTATGCCATGGTGATGGGGGTTTCATTTAAATAAAAGGGATAATATCTTCAAAACATACATATATTACACGCACACAAGAGAATATCATCTATGCGTGTGCTCAAGAGAGTGGGAATATATATATATATATGAACAGAGAGAGAGAGAGAGAAACCTACCTGGTTTCGTCCTCCAGAAACTGAAGAGAAATGAGGTTTTTTTAAGTAAAAGAAGAAGAGAATGCAGTACACCTTTCTCCTCTCTTCTCTCTCACAATTTCTATGGGTTTTCTGTGTGCAGTACACCTCTCTCTCTCTCTCTCTCTCTACTCTATAGAGGAAACAGTGAGCTTCTCACAAACGGACATACACACTCTCTGTTTTCCTTTTTTATCTCTCCACCCCTGTAATTTCTACACATGGCGTCTAGCACTGTCGTAGTCTGTGTGCATATAAATTTTATAATAAATACATGCCAAGAATGTACCAAACCGTATTTCTCCCCCATATTCACTTTAAGCTCCATTTTGTCCTGATTAAGCACCCGTTTGGCCCCTTTAAAATTTTTTAATTTAATTTAAATTTTTTTCTCTTTTATTTCTCACCATACAATTTTCAATAAAATAAAATTGCACATAAATCGAAAAAAATTTCATTCTTTTACAATCATTCATTAAAAAAATAAATTATTCCCCTATTATAAACCCAAATAATCCGGGCCAAACGAGTGCTAAATTTAAATTTTAATTTTAATTTAAGTCAAAGCGAATAATTAATTTTAATCATATATTTAATGAAATTTACAACCTTTTTAACACACATTTCATAAATTTCTTTTTAAAATTTATTAAAAATTTGATTTTAATTTCCACTAAAAGGTTAAATATTGCTATTTTTTTCAAAGACAAAATATTAAGGAAAATAAATAAAAACTTGAGTTTTCCTAATGACACGTGGCAAAAATACTTGAAAATGCCAATATAGAAAATATTAGATAAGCCCCTCAAGTATTTAACCATTACAAAAATACTTTAATTTGTAACGATTTTTTCCATACTTCATTTACCTTTAGGAAATTGTCACCAAAAAATTTTGTTGTTACATCACTTTAATTACAATAAGTTTCATCTTTTATTTGTTATCACATTTAAATTTTCTTTATTGTATACTTATCTTCAATTTTTCATTAATTAATACATTTGATTCATGATGAAGATTTTCATCTAAAAAATCCGTTATGACTTCGTGAAAAGGCTTAAAATATTTTTACATATTAATCAATATGGTCATTTCACAACCAAAAGAGCAATTCTACTTTCATTTTGTTGTAAATTGAATTTTTTTATATTGGTGCATTTATTAATTTTAACGAAGAAAAATAAACTCATTTGTTATAATACCAAAGAGCATAATAAAGTAGAATTGAATGACAGCCAAAGCTTGGATTAATTTTCTTTTCCTTTTTCTAGTGAAATTAAAGTATCTAGCAAAAAATAGAAGTTGTGGTGTTAATGTAATTACCCATTTTGAAAAAGATTGTCCCTAACGTTTAAGGGTAATGCATCTTTTAGGGACATATCGTTCTTAACTTGGCATTTTGGCCCTTGATTTCACATCCTTTTTGCAAAAAGTACGACCTCATTTTCGTTGCTATCCAGTCTTGCCATTAAATGGGCACGTTCCTCCGAACTATCAAATATTAGGACATTTTTCATCTACCCGCCAATATGTAAAGATCTTCATGAAGCGAGCGACGCTATGCTCAGATGAACATATACAAAATGCTTTGATCTGACAACTTTATTGATGAAATATTTACAATTTTTGTTATGAAAAATAACTTGGTTTTCCATTTGCTCCGATCTTACAAAGCTGAACTATGGTGAGTAATTTGTTGAGTGTTTATAAATTCTCAATTAAAAATCAAATAATTATATATATATATATATATATATATGAACAGAGAGAGAGAGAGAGAGAGAGAGAGAGAGAAACCTACCTGGTTTCGTCCTCCAGAAACTGAAGAGAAATGAGGTTTTTTTAAGTAAAAGAAGAAGAGAATGCAGTACACCTTTCTCCTCTCTTCTCTCTCACAATTTCTATGGGTTTTCTGTGTGCAGTACACCTCTCTCTCTCTCTCTCTCTCTCTACTCTATAGAGGAAACAGTGAGCTTCTCACAAACGGACATACACACTCTCTGTTTTCCTTTTTTATCTCTCCACCCCTGTAATTTCTACACATGGCGTCTAGCACTGTCGTAGTCTGTGTGCATATAAATTTTATAATAAATACATGCCAAGAATGTACCAAACCGTATTTCTCCCCCATATTCACTTTAAGCTCCATTTTGTCCTGATTAAGCACCCGTTTGGCCCTTTAAAACTTTTTAATTTAATTTAAATTTTTTTCTCTTTTATTTTTCATCACACAATTTTCAATAAAATAATATTACACATAAATCGAAAAAAATTTCATTCTTTTGCAACAATCCATTTAAAAAAAAAAATTATTCCCCCATTATAAACCCAAATAATCGGGGCCAAACGAGAGCTAAATTTTAATTTTAATTTTAATCAAAGCGAATAATTAATTTTAATCATATATTTCATGAAATTTACAACCTTTTTAACACACATTTCATAAATTTCTTTTTAAAATTTATTAAAAATTTGATTTTAATTTCCACTAAAAGGTTAAATATTGCTACTTTTTTCAAAGACAAAATATTAAGGAAAATAAATAAAAACTTGAGTTTTCCTAATGACACGTGGCAAAAATACTTGAAAATGCCAATATAGAAAATATTAGATAAGCCCCTCAAGTATTTTACCATTACAAAAATACTTTAATTTGTAACGATTGTTTTCCATACTTCATTTACCTTTAGGAAATTGTCACCAAAAAATTTTGTTGTTACATCACTTTAATTACAATAAGTTTCAACTTTTATTTGTTATCACATTTAAATTTTCTTCATTGTATACTTATCTTCAATTTTTCATTAATTAATACATTTGATTCATGATGAAGATTTTCATCTAAAAAATCCGTTATGACTTCGTGAAAAGGCTTACACTTGTCCCCCATATTTATAATTAATCAAAAAAGTAAAAATTAAAATGTGCTACAGAATATTTGCCCTTCGTTTTAAAATATGTTGATGAAATATGTGGACATAAACCATCGTAAAGGACCAAATGTGTTGATTAAGAGAAGATTAAGGATAAGAATGCGATAAAAACGTAGGGACTTAAGTACGATAATAAGAAAAATAAAATACTTTTAGTGTAATTAAAACGCAACATATATAACCACACTTCCCCATTTGTCAAAAAATTATATTTCTCGTTTGATCACTTTATCTTTGTATTACATTTAAGTTTATTATTAAAATGAATTTGGATTATATTCTTTCAACTCTTTTGTTTTCTCATTTCTTAAAATATTTTTACATATTAATCAATATGGTCATTTCACAACCAAAAGAGCAATTCTACTTTCATATTGGTACATTTATTTATTTTAACGAAGAAATATAAACTCATTTGTTATAATACCAAAGAGCATAATAAAGTAGAATTGAATGACAGCCAAAGCTTGGATTAATTTTCTTTTCCTTTTTCTAGTGAAATTAAAGTATCTAGCAAAAAATAGAAGTTGTGGTGTTAATGTAATTACCCATTTTGAAAAAGATTGTCCCTAACGTTTAAGGGTAATGCATCTTTTAGGGACATATCGTTCTTAACTTGGCATTTTGGCCCTTGATTTCACATCCTTTTTGCAAAAAGTACGACCTCATTTTCGTTGCTAGCCAGTCTTGCCATTAAATGGGCACGTTCCTCCGAACTATCAAATATTAGGACATTTTTCATCTACCCGCCAATATGTAAAGATCTTCATGAAGCGAGCGACGCTATGCTCAGATGAACATATACAAAATGCTTTGATCTGACAACTTTATTGATGAAATATTTACAATTTTTGTTATGAAAAATAACTTGGTTTTCCATTTGCTCCGATCTTACAAAGCTGAACTATGGTGAGTAATTTGTTGAGTGTTTATAAATTCTCAATTAAAAATCAAATAATATCTATGTAGGGTGCTCTTGATGTTTTTAGTTTAGTTGTCTTATATAAAATTTTCAACTGTTTCCTACCTCCACATTTCGTGAGTAATTGCAATCTTTATTTATGGTATACAGTACGACATTCTTAGCAATTTTAATTCCAACATTATAAGATCAAGTGATCAACTATAATATTAAAGGGTCTTTCAATTTAATAAACCGTGAAAGCGTAGAATTTTTATTATATCATAAGTTACATGGCATAAGTTTGGGACGTCTCAGTACAATCTTCGTGCAAACTTGACGATTTTGAAAATATTTGTTAGACGGAGTTGTAGATATTTAAACTAATGGAGAATTGTAGCCACAGTATCAAACTTTTCATTTAGTAGTAGACTTCACACAAACCTTTTATTAGTGTCATTCACCATACCAAACTTTTAAAAAGTTCACACCTGAAATCCAAATGGATGGAAAATCAGTCATTTGACCGTTAATTGACCCAAATACTAAACTTTCAAATATTTTGACTAATTTTTAAAATGATAACATAGCAAATTTACATTTTCTTAAAAAAATGATTATAATAATTATATCAAAAAACAAAACCCCAACCACCCACGTCCTTCTCCTTCTTTGCCGCACCCTCGAAAATCATCCATTGCCATCGAACGCTGACATCATCGTAGGTAACAATGCCTTCTTCCTTGCTTTTCAACTCCATTTTCATCTCATCTTCTATTGCTATTGTTAAGATTTGAGATTCCATATTAAAATGTCAACTTTATTAAGAGGAGTTGTCCAATATCTTTTTAAGTTGGTCAATATTTCGGTATTTAACTGATGTAGGATTTTTATCCCTTAACATGTCCCACAAGATGATGGCTTATTTGACCAGACCAATATTGAAATTCGTATCTCATTTTTTAAGTTTTAATGGCTCTGATACTATGTTAAGATTTGAGGTTCTATCTTAAATGTCAACATTATTAAAAGAAGTAGTCTAAGATCTTTTTAAGTTGATCAATATTTCGATATTTAAACGATGTGAAATTTTTATCCCTTAACAGCTATTGCCAACACTTCGACTTTTCCATTCACGTTAGCTACAAATCAAAGTGCACAACAACCACCATTTTCGCCAACTGCCTACTACAACCCCACAATTCTCTAGTGCCAACACCAAATCAAACCCAAGATCGATCTCCCTAAATTTGAATTCCAAAAAAACAAAACCACCCTAAACGTTCGGTTTCATTTATTCTCTCTAGTTGCCGCCTACATTCACCCTTATCTCCTCCAGTTGAATGGTGCATTTCCCATGTACCTCGGCCATAAAAAATTCCAGAAAATCCTAAACCTCATACCTTCCATCCTCTCATTTGCAACAAAAAATAAAAAATATAAAAATACAAGAAATAGAGGCATAGCATATCAGTATATGGACTCGCCCATGCAATAGGTTGAGGGAAAAATAAAGGGATTTGACGATCATATCAAGTATTTTGTTGAATGATAAATTGGGCGTGAGCAAAGCAAGAAATTTAAAAAAAAAAAATTATAGGTTGAATATAGTTTCCTGGGATGACTTTCGGGTGAAAGTTCCAGTGCCAACATTGAGGGTAGGTGGTGGCGATGATGATAATGGCCGGCCATTGCTGCCAAGTGGGATGGTTTTGGTTTTGGAGTACGGGGATTGGATGGGGTTGGGGAAGTTAGAGAAGGGTTTCGATGGTTGGTTTTTTTTATATATATAATTTTTCAAATTTTGATTTTTTGTAAGAGAAATATAAATTTACTATGTTATCCTTTTAAAATTAGTTAAAATATTTGAAAGTGTACAATTTGGGTGAACTAACGGGCAAACCGTTTCCACCCATTTGGATTTCAAGTGTGATTTTTTTTTAAAAGTTTGGTACTGTAAATAATACAAATGAAAGGTTTTGGGTCAAATCTACTACTAAATGAAATATTGGTACTGTGGCTGCAATTCTCCCTTAAACTAATCTAAAAAACTTTAATTTCTCTTTTACATTATTCTTTAGTAATTTGATAAAATATAAGCAAACCAATTTTTAATATATACAGTATATATAGGTGTATAAGTATAGGTTTGTACAAGTACAGTTTGTGATGTCGTTTTGATAAATAATGGAAAGCCTTTCATTATTTGTTTCACTTTTGGGGTAATGTTTTATCACAAAACGACAAAGCTAAGTCCTGTGGGTTCCATTTTGTGTACTTTGATGTTTTTCAAAATGGAATATGGAAGAAAACTGCCGGACCACCTTTCTTTTTTTCTTTTTCTTTTTTTTTCCTTTTTCCTTTATTCTTTCTTTTCTTTTTTTATAAATAAAATAAATCAGCTTTGGCAATTGTTTGCCGTTAGTTGTCCGTATGTTGGGGTACATTGTTGATGGAGCGGGCTTTAATCGGGTCTGGTTAGGCAGATTAAATTTTATTTCATCACGTACTTATTTAAGCCCTGTCTGTTTTTCATTTTTGGAAGAATTAGAATGAAAAATATAGTCATTACTGACCCCACACAAAAGATAGAAATTCAAATTTGATAGTTTGATGTGACGGATAACGATCATATTTTTCATTTTAATAAGAAAATAATGGGTACCAAACGGGGGCTTAATTATTTAACTCTACATCAACCATCTAAATTTTGAAAATATTTGTTAGACGGAGTTGTAGATATTTAAACTAAGGAAGAATTGCAACCACGGTATCAAACTTTTCATTTAGTAGTAGATTTGACACAAACCTTTTATTAGTGTCATTCACCATATCAAACCTTTAAAAAGTTCACATCTGAAATCCTAATGGACAGAAAATCAGTCATTTGACCGTTAATAGACCCAAATAGTAAACTTTCAAATATTTTGACTAATTTTTAAAATGATAACATAGTAAATTTACATTTTCTTAAAAAAATTATAATAATTATATCAAAAAACAAAACCCCAACCACCCACGTCCTTCTCCTTCTTTGCCACACCCTTGAAAATCATCCATTGCCATCGAACGCTGACATCATCGTAGGTAACAATGCCTTCTTCCTTTGCTTTTCAACTCCATTTTCACCTCATCTTCTGTTAATATTGTTAAGATTTGAGGTTCCATTTTAAAATGTCAACCTTATTAAAAGAAGTAGTCCAAGATCC